GCATATCGGGATGTATAGGATCCTACGAAGGGTCAGGCAAGTAGCTTATGAGTTAGAGTTTCCACTAGAATTGGCATTTGTACACGTAGTGTTTTACGTGTTATGTTATAACATTCATGATAGTTCAGTACTAAGATACTTATGTCATTCCAATACTCATGTCATTCTAATACTCAGATATTCATGCCAGCTTATTACTCAGATATTGATGTCAGTTTAGTGCTCAGATATTCATGTCAGTTCAGTACTCAAATATTCGTGCTAGTTTAGTATTCTTATATCCATATTTGTTCGGTATTCACGTATCCATGACAAAGAAACATTCACGTATATGTTTCATGTTATGTATATTATGATGCCCTGTGAGGCTTGTATTATGCTCTATTTGCTAGCAGGTGTTTTGGAGAAATATTGAAGGTAACTAACCTTCTCACTCAGACCTTATATTATAATATCCATAACTTTTAGTATTCAGTCAGTTCAGTAGCCATTCAGTTTAGTACCTATTCAGTTCAGTATCTCAGCAGTTTAGTAGTCGTGTATTCATTTAGTTTAGTATGCATGCGTGCTCAGTTTAGTGTTCACATGTTTCCATCAGTCTCATTTAAGGTCTAGAGTTTGTCGTAGTTACAATTAGGACAATCATTCGAGGACGAATGATCCCAAAGGGGAGATAATGTAACACTCTGTAAATTCAAATTAGTTGTGAAAGCGTTAAATGAGTATTAATACGGCCTTTTAGACATGTGAAGTCCTATCGGGGTGAGTATGTGTAGAAATAATTGTTTTAGAATCAAGACCGAGAGTGAGGTGCACAAAACTCATTAGAATTGACTAAATTTATAAGAGGACCGTCTTATAGCCTTAGACAACACAAGGCCTTAAAAACTCACGGCCATAGACATATCAAGGAACTGTACAGGACATTAAACTCAACGCCCATAATAGTGCAAGGCACTGTCCAGAGCATCAACCTCAGCGCCCCAAACAGTGCAATGCACTGTAGTTTTGGTGCCTCTGATGGCACCTTGCACAGTTATTTTGGCTTATTTTGGCACCCCTGATGATGCCCCGCACCGATGATATTTATCCGAGCTACTTTTATTTCCTCCTCAATTTTTGGGACGCATACACTTATTTAAACCCTATATTCGTTCCCTACAAGCCCAAACACGTACATTTGTTCTAGAAAGGGAAGCTCTCAAGAACCTACCTTCCCCAAGATCCCTCCATCATCCAAGGTAAGTTCTAACGATGATTCTAAGTTAATTTCAATTCTCCAAAACTTTATTAACATGGGTAAATATTTCAAATCATTAGATATTCGATCGAGTTATCATTGTTGAGAAAAGAAACCCTAGAACTCGAATTCAAGAGGATTGAACTTCAAAAAGATAATTCTTCTACTCCCTAATCATTTATAGCTATGAATTGATGAGTTTTTGGGAGAATTGTAAATTGGTTGGATAAGAGAACCATATGAACTATGCTAGAGTTTTGGGTTGTTGACTTATGATTATTATAATCATTTGCGTGATGAGAAATGTTGTTAGTTACATCTATTTGAGATTATAGAATCACCTAGATGCAGTAGAATGAGAATTGGCTGAAGAAAGCACCATTAATAAGGGATATAAGGCTTTACACCCATAAGGTGTTTGATAAACTGCCTAAGTGACTAAAACATGAGCCTTAGTGCTAATATTGGTTCTTCTTGATATATATTGATATAGATTATCGTTGAAAGAGGCGACGAACATGTGATACGCTTAGAAAGGTCAGAGTCAAGGTATGTGAGGCTAACTCTTTATGTTTGGGAATGTTAATGATTCTCCCTACATTATGTTTCTTTTACAACATTACTAATTGCCTTAGGAATATAGTCAAGCCTAGTTCCTTGAATAGTTGCAGAACTTTTATTCTCTAGCTTCATAGCTCGTTAATGACTTTCATTCTGAACGTTGTGACCTCAGTGCGCAATCAATATAGACTTGGGTTTGATGCCCATGAGTCTCAGTCTAGATTATTCAGCATGTCATAAATAGTTGAAGTTTCAATTTTCATAATCAGTTCATGAATAGATGCCTCAGTCTAGTCCTATTTAGTATTCCAGTATCATGTAACTCAATATGATTCAGTATCAGCATCACATAATGTAGTATGATTCTCAGTTCCTGAATTTAAATCCCTGAATGTTGAACACCTATATTTGGGCATGAGGCCATAGTTTATATGCTTTTTGCATACTTGGGCCTGAGGCCGTAATTTATGCTTTATGGATGTTTGGGCATGAGGCCGTAGTTGATGCTTTATGAATTTTTGGGTCTGAGGGTGTAGTTATGTATAAGTATATTTGGGCCTGAGGCCGTAGCTTGTGCACATATATATTGGGCCCGAGGCCGAAGTTTATTCAAATAAACAAGTTGTTCATCATTCAGAAGAGGGAGTATTCATATCCTTACTTCCTTTGTTCAGTTCAATTATTCATTATCATTTCTGTTATCAATTATCGGTTATTATTTATCAGTTATCAATTATCAGCTATCAGTTATCAATGCAGTTTCAATTTCAACAGTTATCATTTCAGTTATCAATTATTAGTTCTCAGCTCAGTTTCGGTTTCAGCATTTACAGTTCTTTCTTCCAGTTGTTTTACATACTAGTGCAATTCAAATATACTGACGTCCCTTTTTGCCGGGGGCCTGCATCTCACGATCCAGGTAATTATTTACAGGTTGACGATTCAAAGCGCTAGGATTTTCGTACCAGCTAATTGGTGAGCCTCAGTTCTTTCGGGGCATTATCATCACTTTTTAGACTTTCAGTATTTACAGGATTTCAGTATTTACAGACAGTCAGTATTTTCAGTACTTTATTAGAGGCTTCATAGACTAGAGTAACAGTTAGACAGAGTCACATGCTTTTCATGTTAAGCAATATTGACTACAGAGATGTTTCGGACTTGTATTAATGTTTCAACACTTTTATTTATATCATTCAGACTTTTAGTATATCAGCATGTGTTAGTTTATCTTCCGCATTCAGTATGTTATGATATCACATGTTGATTCAACCAGCCAGTTGGTTCGCTCGGTCACATGTAGTTAAGCAACGAGTATCGTGTTACGTTCAGGCCTAGGTTCGGGGCGTGACAAGAAGCCTAAAATTTAATCTCATTTGTTTCATTAAAAAAATTCTCTTTTTTTATTTTCCCCTTTTTTCCCTTTTTTTTTGTCTGTTTCTTCCTCTTTCTTTTCACATCCATGCTCCTCCATCATTTTCATCTCCTCCATTTCCACCACAGTTACGAATACAAGTCGTGGGACTCGTGAAAGGAGAAAAATCATTAATAGAATCTCATTTAGTTTGTATTTACTGGTACTTTCTATAAATTATGTCATAATCGTGAATACAAGAAATTATAGTACATCAGAGCAAACTAAGATGTATCAATATAATTCAAATGATCTAGGGTATTAGAAATACTTCTTATGGTCTACTTGAAGATCTTCATGATGAGACGAGAGGCTATATATTCCTGGCAGATGTACAACAAAGTGAATTCATAGTATGTTGGTCATATAGCCTGTTGATGCGGTATGAAATGAAAATGAGAAAAAAGAAGGAGAATATGTTTTTCTTTAGTTTGGATGAAGCTCGAGCACTCCTTTATGGTGAGTCGCAGATGTCAAAAATTTGCTATTGGGTCAGGTCCACAGGTCATGGGTGCTAATTAGCTAGTCCTCCTCTAAAATCCTACTAATATATAAATACACCATTTTTGACGTAGAAACAAATACATTTTCAATTAATAGATAATGTTTATGGTTTACAAAGAAAGAAAATTATCTGCATCTTCAAAGTGGATATCTATGTAGTTTATGAAAAATAGGAGTTCATCTACTTTGTGAGGATTCCTAATGATTGGTAGTTTTAAGTTATGGTTACAAGAGATTCGCTTCCGCATGGAGAATTTTTTTAATTTCCTAGCCTAGTTCTTTACATCGATTTACATCATTATCCCTTTTCATATTTCATCTTTAGAATGAGAAAGCTAAGCCTACCCGAAATAATTAAAGAAAAAGATAATTAAACACACAATAAAGTCTTTACTAATAATAAATAAATGAAATAATAAATAAGTCGAGCTTAAAAACACAATGTTAAATTACGCAGAATTATCATCAAATTAACTCCCACCGAGTCCTATAAATCTTTAAAGCTCCAAGAAGACAATTGTCCCAACTCACGAGCCCCATAATAACACCTTATAATGAACAGAAGATAACGAAATTCTTCAAAGTAGCCATTATACAATAATTGAAATGAGTGGCCTTTTTTTTTCTCCTACTTTTTAAATTCTTAAATTCTTTTTCCCCTTCAAGCCTCCTTGAGGGGGGGGGGGGGGGGGAGGNGGGGGGGGGGGGTGCAGGCCCCTACCAGTGTATTGATACCCAATAACTGTACAAAAGAGAGGGGACATGTTGTCTAACCTCTTGATCCTAAATGAGGAATGTACAACACTATTTCTGTAAAAAATTATATAGAAACTTGGAGATCCTATCCATGACAAAATGGCAGTGCAATCTAAACTATCACTATGCTTAAAATGAAATGGGGAGGACTACTCCTTAACAAGATATAACATTGAAGAGACAATATATGTTGCCTACCTCCGCCCCCTTCTTTTCACAAACATATAAAGGCAGCCTGGTGCATGAAGCATCATGTGTGATGCATTCACGTAGGGTAAGGAAAAGGGTCGTACCCCGAGAGAGTGATGGTAACCAACCTAGCATAGAGCAAGTGTCAGTGGCTGATTTTTTGCTCGAACTCCTAACCTATATGTTACACATAGACACTTTTACTTTTGCTCCAAGATAAAAATATAGTAATTGATTAGTTATTAACCTTGAGCACAACATTACTTGCACAAAGCTCTCAATTACCTGAAGTCTCTCTTTTTTTTCTTTTTATTTCAGTCATATGCAAGTAATTCGTAGAAACTCAAAAAATATATTACTTTCTTAATATATAATAAAATTAAGCAAAAAATAGATAACATACCAAACATATCCCTCCCCCTTTCTTCTCTATTGACTGAAGGTTCATCTCAACTCAAAGAAATAAACGTAAAATATTATCAAAACCACAAGTATCCTAAGTAAGCTTTGATACTTTATGGCCTTTTGAGAGTGAACTAAGGACTTTAGTGCAGTCTTCTTGGCCTCAGATTTTTTTTGTGCTTTTCTTTCCGAACGCTTTCTCCTTTGTGCCTCTCTTTCAGCCTTTTTTTGAGCTGCTTTGGCCTCTTCCTTTGATGCCATTCTTAATGCCTCTTCCTTCGCAACACAGGCCAATGCCTCTTCCTTTTGACGCCTCGCTTCTACTAGTTTCTTCTCATCTTCCTTCCTCAAATTCTCAAGTTCCTTAACCTAAATACCATAGAACTGTTAACACATATATAGCACATAATTATACAAAACTATATGATGGTATGACTTTTGGACGCTATCAAACTGCCAAGTTCAGGGGTTGAAGACTATCAAAGTGCAGAGTTTAGAAGATAATTAGGACCAAAAATTATTTCAGGTACGCACCAAATAAAAAGTGTCAAGTTAGGTGTCCTGAGATATTATATATGCCAATGTACATCAACAACAACATACCCAAAGCGGTCCCACAAGTGGGATCTGCGGAGGGTAATGTGTACGCAGACCTTACTCCTACCTTGTAAAGGTAGAAAGACAGTTTCCGATAGACCCTCGGCTCACGATGAATGTATGTTGAAAACCTAGCAATACTTTCACAAGTGGAGACAAAAGGTAAAAACATATATTATACGAAACTTAAAACTAAAAACGTATGTTTGTGGTGCAAATATAAGTAAATGCGCACACTAAAGTACGACTAATTAAGGTTTAAATGACACTAATAATAAGAAAAAAGATTCGGTTCACGCACACAGTCAAAAGTATCATGTACAAAAGTAGTACTTTGTCATTTGCATGTCTTTCGATAATTTTGATCACTCTTTATCATTGTGCTATTGTTTCCTAAGTTGGTAGAGAAATTTTTGTCAAACAAAAAACTACAGTAATTGACAAGGAATATAAGTTCATGTGAAATGCTGAATAGACATTAAGGAGCGATTGTTTGAATTGAGTTGAAAGTGAGGTGGTAGATATTGCATGAATGTCTAATAATCTATTCAAAATTGTGCAATTAGAGAGAAAAACTAATGAAAGCAGATTATTTTTAACTTTCTATTCCTTTCCATCATGATTAATTGATTAAAAGGGCAATTTAATTCTTTACCTTTTGTTTCTCTCGTAGTGCTTCTTTGCAGGCTGCATGGTACATTTCCATAGTCTGAATTGTTTGTAACTCTAGTCTTCTCATCTTTTCTTCCATTTCTTTCTGACAAATTTAACATGTCAAATGTTAAAATTCCACTGGCAAATCAAACAATATTAGTCTGAAAACAGAATATCTTTATGATGTTATTGACGGTGTTCTTCAAAAGATATGTTTCGATATTTAATTGATTTAATTTTAAGCTAAAAATAAATTATGTCAGTTAAAAACTCATATTATTTAAAGGGCCTACTCATTACCCAAGCGTTTGCCACTTCACTCTACCCAATGTCACTAGATTTCACTAACATCATTTATGATAATAGGTTTGGAACAACTTGCACGCACCACAATTGGTCCACCAAATAGTCTGTTACAATCCACAACCACATGTATCAGGTGAATCGCCACATCAAGATTGGAGTAGATTTGCTCACTTGTAATATGTTACCACCATATTGGAGCTCCAAATTTGACTAGATATGCAATTGGACTTCTCCCAATATGACTAAGAACAATGATGCCAGTTGGAATTTCAGCCTTTTTGCATTGCCTACTTGCTAAAGCAAAAATGAAATAGCTGATCATAAATTCTATGACATTTTCGAGACCTCACTAATCAGCCAACCACTTTTTAGTTCATAAGAAAGAACCCCGGTTGTAAAACAAATATCCCTCCGTTTTACTAAACACAGCTCAAAAGTTTATTGAACTAGCAAGAAAAGCCTAGTCCACAGCCCACAAACAACGCTCCTAGAGTAGGCAAAGGAACTAAAAAAAAAAAATGTCTCATAGGGTTTTATTTAGGGAAGAGCCAATCAAGTAAATACTCCATTGCAATTTGGGAAAAAGAGATATTGGTTCAACACTTCCAACCACATGATCCGCTGACATGTAAAGAGGTCTGCCAGACACGAAGTGCACTATACTACCACCTTGACTGGACCGTGCCCATGCTTTAAGGATAGAGTTTGGAACATATATTAAGATGGTGGTTTGGGACCGTTAATGACCAACTTTTCTTTTGTAAATATCACTACTCCATACAGTGATGGATTTCTTTGTAGATTTCATAGCTCTAAATTACGCCACTGCCACCTTAGATAAAACATTCCTCGTAAAGCTTCAAAATGTGACTTGTACAGCCTGAACTTTCTTTACTACACCTGGAAATGTATTAGGAGAACTAGAGTCCCTTTATCTATGCTACATCGTCTGATTACAAATAGGAAAATCATGTGGTACTGAAGATTTGGTATACTCTTAGTCTACTCCAACTATTTAACCCACAATTCTCGGGCACACCTGATGGGACGCTCAAGTACGAATCGTTAAAGCAGTACTTCCGCTAAATATAATTTTTCTTGGCATATGTACTTATATTCTGGAAAAAGTATTCCAATAATAGCATATAATCCTCTAGAGAAATGTCGGTCTGAGAGTTATTTGTTCGACATTTGATGCCCCAACTCCACCAGTTAATGCTAGTGCCCGAATGAAGGATTTTGTATCCCACTTCTAGAGATTGCAACCACATCATTAATTAAGGATCAAATCAACATTAGATCAACGACATGATGCAATGACTTAGCAACATCAGCAATGTCATCAAACCCACGGCGCAAAACAAGCACTATTTTGCTAGGGAGCTGGAGCTTCGAAATGCTAGGCAGCAGAATGAATATTCGACTATCAGTGTTAACCAACAACTTTCATAGTCCTATCAAGGCCCACGTCTTATGGTGGCTCCACCTTACAGTGTAGAAACATTTCATCTATGTTGCTCGCACTCTCCAAAAATGTCACTGGGTGCATGTCGGATCCTCCAAAAGTAGTGTATTTTTGGAGGATCAGACACGGGTGCTGCAGTATTTTGGAGAGTCCGCGCAACATAGCATTTCACACTATGGCCATCATGGACAGCTCCAGTTGACTATTTCTTTCAACATGAAGCAACTTACCTAGTAGAACAACCGTCTGATCTTTAATATGAGAAAGTCAATTTTTGGCGAGTACCATAGGTTCACCTATAATTATGGCACTCCTCCATTTCCTCTCATCTTTAACTCATAAAACAGTGGTATCGCTTGCAGTTACTTAGAGTGTGTATGAAAGGACACAATTAATTATACAACAGAGCAGCCATGACATAATCCTCCCTCTTCATGCTTGATTCCTTAGCTATCCCAAACTAGCAACACTTCAAAGCTCTGCCTGCTAGGCATGTATCTACTCCACCAAGGTCAAAACAACCTACAGTGGCTCCTACGCCAAATCCAGCAAAAACCCTTTATCTGTATGATTAAACTTCACAGTTGAGATGATGAAGTGTTACATTGGCATCAACCTGAAGTCGGTAGATAGACAGGCGTACAAAAATCCTTAACCAAATTGGGTCGATAGGATAGTACTGCGAACTCCACAATTTGTTAGTATTTCTCGAGTAAGACGGCAAGACCACCATTGAGAATATTGGATGGTTCAAAATCACAATACATGAAGATTCTCAAAACAATTGTCCCAAATTGCGACTCTTCTCCCTCTTTCACAAGCAGAGACTGCTTTTGCATGGTACTCCTCACTACTAGCCAGCTCAATTCAATATTGGATAGACAAGGAGAGAAAGTTGTGATTTGGTTAATCTTAGGCAACTAGTAGATGAGTCAATTGTTTATTACCTCCAGATATTCTGCAAGATGCGTAACAAGTGTCATATACAACCTCCGGGATCTCAGTGTGAAATCACAGTAGTAAGTGACATGCATCCCAACTGAAATAGCAGGAAAAAAGAGCCTACGGAGTCAAAGTCCACATCTTGTGTCAATCGTCACTTAGATCCGGCCCACCCAACTAAATTTAAAAAGATTCCTCAGCAAATGCAGATCCTATCAATACCTACAGCTATCAAAGACTGTGAAGCTTTTCAAAACTGAAAACAAGGACAAGTACCTATTCAGCATCTCTAAGGTGAACTGATCTTCGGCTATCCACTCAAAGATAAGTAGATAAAATTTCTGAGCGACATAAATTGCCACCAGCTGAGGAAATAAAGATTAAAAGATAATGCAAATGGCACAATACCTATAGTCACTCCATCAACAGCTGCCCTATCTTTTGTAATACACTACAAAAGGCTATTGAGGATAGTAGTTTCAAATTGTCTGAGAAGAGTGCCTAAAGATAGGGAAAATGCAAGGTGAAGAAACCAACTAGAAGGAGTGGAAGGTGAAGGTAAAGGAACATTCAATGAGTCGTTAGAACCTAAGTGGCATGTGAACTAAGAACAAGAAGAAAGAATGAAAAACAGTAAGTCACCAAGAAGAAGACAATTTATATAAGGGGAATGAAATGCTCGATAAGTTGCCACGAAAATCGTAGCAAAGAAGAGTCGCACCATCCATGAGGTAGTGTACGAAGTCATCTACTCTTTCAAAGTCTCTAAATGAACCGAAGACAAAAGCAAGGAAAATAAGCAAGTGTTGTCCTCAAGATAGAGGAGTCAAAGGCTAAGCAAGTCGTTTCCCAACTCAGAGTAGAGAGAGAAAACGTAGAAAAAGGGGCAAAGCATAAGGAGTCATCTACCCGTACTCCACCTTCAACTAAGACCAAAACCTAGATAAAAAGCACCATTAAGATCAGAACCTCCAAAGGAGCCAATATCAGACCACTCTTAGCTTCACTGAATAATATGAGGAGTGGTAGAAATTAACCTCGACAAAGGGGTGTATGTTGTTCTCATCACAACCATCAACAACATTAAGAAAACTTCTGGAAAAATCATCAAGCTCGATGTATAAACATTGAGAAGGAGACATTGGTGATCAATAAAACACAGCATATGATCACCTAGGCAGCACTAACCAAAACATGCACCCTTGGCATTCGAAGCATACTCAAGGACAAAAGCCAACAAGCAGAGAAGAGACTCAAGAAAGAAGCTCAAAAGATTGTGTCTGAGAAAGGAAAAGTTGCAGAGTAGTAGAGCAGTCAAAGACATCAGCATCGCCTTATTTATTAGAAGAGTGGCAGATCGACATGGCAGTCCAAAATGGACTAGTGATCATACTCCCCGGATGAATCCTTGCACTATCAGATGACTTGAAAGAACCTGAAGGATATCTAAAATGCCGACGCAAAATAGAATACCCTAGCATACGAAATAATGAAACCTGCAATGATCATGCTTAGGAAGTTATCTCGTATAACTCAACAGTTGAAGCCCTTGCAGCACTAATGAAAACCACTCAACACCATGCGGATCAATAGTTTTATGAAGGTTGCCAAAACCAGGACAGATCTAATTATAACCAGCCGCAAGATGAAAAAATTCATGAGAGATTTCTCGTCAACATTAGGAGTCCTGATTGACAAAATTTTTGTGGGCTATAAAACCACCAATATGGAAGTATTTATCATATACGTCAAACTTCCTTACTGTGTCCTTTTTTTTTTATGAAGTAATTGGTTTCATTACTGGCATCAAGAAGATGCATAAATTACAAAAGAGTGTAGCAATTGTTAGCTCCCTCCCTCTGGCACATGTAGCATCTATTCACAATCTGAAAATTCCTCTTGGTTAAGTTGTCTTGTGTCAGACAAGCCTCATAAAGTGTCCTCTTAGGGAGAGACTGAAAAATCCTTCCTCCTTGCAGTAGAAGCTGATTTTCTTGAGAGGGGACAAAGTGCAAATTAGCCCAACTAACAAGAACATATCAGGTGACATCTGTACGGGGGAAATGGTATTTTACTCCTCATGTATTGTCCTGATAAGAGTACCAGAAGGTTATAAAGTAGGTGTCTTGACTATGTGCTATAACACATCTCAGAAGTTCGCTATCCACCATCAGGCTGACCAACCATCTAGCAATCGCTTAGATGGTTGAAAATGGTGAGAAAATTGTCAAAGACATCCTCCATCAGCAAATTATCATTATGTTCACCCAACCTAAGGATCCAACTATCCCCTACCGTACATAAAGGGCAATATGGTTTGCTAGAGTAGTTGACTATGACAAACAGAGAATTCATTTTTTCTGGAAGAAAAATAAATCACCCACATTTTAAGCCCATGATCCACTTATTAAAGTCAACCTTGCTAAGGAAGAAGATTCTATGCCTACCAAAATCAATGACCTACTAAGCGAACATGAAAAAGTTGAATCTGAAAATTTAGTCAAACACTTCCGAGACTGCTTTGCCTCGAATTACATCGAAATGCCTAAACTTATTTCAAGAATCGATAGAATTATCAATGGCATTAATAATGGATTCAGGCCACAAAGAAACCTGCAAGAAAATATGATCTTGATGTTCTACCTCATGTGAAGCAAGTGATGGAATATTTGTTGAAAGCTGAGTTCACTAAACCAGCAAAGTATGTTCAATGTCAATTGACAAAGTCATCATGGTTTACTAGAAGATTACTAAATCCAAGATCTGCATCGTCTTATCACAAAATTGGTAGTTGTATACAACTGAAGATTTGGACAATTTCTAGGTCAAGTCCAACTAATTTCACCTGCAACAAATTGGGATTTGAACTAGGGGTCCAAGTTATTACTCTTATATCTCAACCACTCAACTATTTGCTGAGGGTACTACTAGATTATACTAATATATGAACATATTTTCGTTTTCATTGTTCATGATAATCACCAACGCTTTGTCCCCAACCCTCTGCTACTATCTTGATACTGTTAATCTAATTTTTTTTAATAGAATCATTCTCTCTAGGAAAATATTTCATATCATACTTAACACAGCTGAAAGAAGTTTAAAACTTACAATTTTATCTGAGGACAATGAGTTTTCTTCACATTTCTGTTCGGATAGTAGCAAGTCATATGCGGAGTCAAGATGATCAACCAACCTTGTAGGACTAAAACCAGAAAACTTTGATCCAATGAACCTCGTAGGGTGATCACCACTTTTGCTGTCGATGAAATTCAAAGATTTTGAAGGACGACGAGGTTGAAATTCACATCCTAAATTATCATAGCAATCCAGGAATACACTATCCGTGCTCAGTCTATCTGAACCTGGAAATGAGTGCTCGGCTTTTGGCACATTAAGCTCATCTGCTATCTTGTTTGTTGATGTACTAAGCCTCGGAAACGGCGACCTGTTTCCATGCATATGGGAGATTTCATGACTAAATGTGGCTATCTTCGTAAAAAGTTACTGAAGTGTCGATACACTTGGATTATGATGATCAAGGATGTAAACATGTCAAGATTACCAAGCCTAGAAAAGGAGGAAATAAGAAAATTGACACTTAAAACTCTGTATTACATCTGACCTCGAATTTTGTGACAGAAATTTGAAAAAGATTGTCAAATACTTGAATTTAACTGGTTCTTTTTTTTTTCTATCATAAATTGTAGTTTTGAGGTCATTCAACCGATATTCTAGCTAGTGTATGGAATGTTACAGCCTTAATTTCTAGATTCTCAGCAGTGAACCTCAAATTCTACAGCCACATGCTACTAAAATTTCATATTTGTGATCAAATATAAAGCTATTAAATCAATAGTATATCTGTAGCACAAAGATGAGAAACACAATTTTAGCAAAAAAATATGCAAACAGCAAAGAACAAATGCTTACTAGACACCCTAATTACCCTGAAAAAACTTAAACCGTGAATGAAATATGACCCTGAAAAACGTGTATAATTTACACTTACATGAAACTAGTTGCATCAAAGTTGGAATTGCGTAGTGGAATTTGTATGCTAGGAACTGAGGATCTCTTTTTCAACGGGTGAGAAGCCAATCTTGCAGAACTGATCTTTCCTTTGGAAACTATGTAAATATTGCAAAAGCTCGGTGCCTTTTTCAGTACAATATTTGCAACATCACTTTTAGTGAAAAGTCTGTCATTAAAGTTCATGTGACTATCAATTCGCCGCTACTAATTTTTAATTCTAACGTACTTTTGCACAGATATAAAAAGTACCTTGAAATCCCATTCTTTGATGGACAACCAAGTACCAAATTTTGAACTCTATATAGTGAAACATAGTCAATGAGAGCCTTAGCAATGTCATGACCTTCAAGTGTGATTAGGTCATATGCTACCTGAAAATTTGTGTAAAAGAGTGTTATAATTTTTTAATTGTCGCTGCAACAATTAGCATTAAGGGAAATCGTGTATAAATTGGTTTTCTCACTTCTTTGAAAGAACAAAAGACTCGAAAAGGAAGAAACAAATCTGTACATTGGTTGTTTGGATCTTGTCCAATTGATAGATCATTGCCTCCTACTGCAAAAGAAAAGAAACACCAAAATTAATTAAGGGTAAAACAAGAACACGCGACGATGCTACACAAACAGAAATACCTATGCCATTGTGAAACGACGTTGGGGATGGAGGTGTTGATGGAACATGGAGTAACGTGACCTTTTGGCCTTTTGCAAGTACATTCTCAGTAGCCCATCTAAGTGCATATTGACTTCCTTTATTTTTATCAATGCCCACAGCTACCAATCTTTCTTCATGCAATCCTTGAGGACTCACCATATGAGTTTATTTGGATGGAAACGATCAACAATTTCAAGATCCAAACAACGTCAAGATTTCAGGAGGGAATAATTTTCCCAACATTAATTTGGAAGAAGAAACCCTGTCTATCGTCTTCTTTCTAGTTTTGGTCAAAATCAACATTATGAAACACATAATGGTCGTCAAGAATTCACTAAACCATTTCCTGATTAGAAGGATGACCATTATTCTTGAACTTTTTCAACCAAAAGACGATAAAGAAAGATAATGTCTATACATGTTTGAATTTAATAGCAAAGCTTTTGCATGACATTGATTTCCAAAAATACAAAAAACCACCAATTTTGGAAGGCTTTTTGTTGCTCCCAAACGCACACGCAAGTATACGTGGTCGACAAGTAATATAGGATTGTAACTCCAGATATCGTACCCACAGGGACTTGTGATTAACTATCAACTAAATTAAACCCAAACAATTAATCTATTCAAGCGAATTCTAAAATATGAATATTTAACTAAAATTAATCTAACGTAACAAACTAAGAGATAAAAGAAAACAAGTTGGCGAATTATAGAGACGAATTCAATGTGAGTGAATATTCTAGAGCTATGGGTTAGCTAACAATCCCGTTAAGTTTTTTCACTTAAATCGTCTAATTAATTTATCTTGTTTATTGGTTGACAGGGTTAATATTGCTCGTAGCCTTCTCCCGAAGTACAACTCGCCTATTCAAGCTAACCTAACACCTATATTCCTATGGAATTAGGATTAACAAGAACGCATTAATAATTCATGTATAGTAACCAAGCAAGGCGATAGGTATATTCCTATCATAACCGCAAATCCGCCCTCCCTAAGAGTTAAGATCTTGCTCTACTCAACCTTATATGCAATCTAGAATTCCCTCTCCCGAGTTCAATCCTAGATTCATAGATAATATTCAATTGGTGATCAAACAATCAAATAATTAAGCGCAAGATTGAATAAATAAACCAATATGATAAAATAACAAGAACAATTCAAGCTTCAAACTACAACGTTCATGTAGCACCCAAAACTCTAGAACAAATAAACTATAAAATTAAAGGAAGAGAAGAGAAGAAAAACTAGTTAGAAGCCTCCTTGACTGAATTCTCCTTCAAAGTATGTTCTATATCACCAAAGTGGCGTCCTCCCTCGTGTCCCGGGCAAAATAGGACAAAATCCGCGTCAACGGCGCCCAGCCTCTGCCCAAATTGCACATACTGTTTTCAGCGCCACAGGTGGCGCTAGGCGCTGCATGTGGCGCCCAAATGGCCTCCTTTTTCGATTTTGTTCGTTTTAGCTCAAATCTTGCACGTTTCGCCCCAATTGCTCCCGAATCATTCCTACAAGTAAAAACACTTCAAATTAATATAAATCAGCATTTAACATCCCAAATTCATGAAACAAAAGTAAAATATGAGGCGATATACATAAAAATATATATACTTTAGGCTAAACATCACTTTTAATTTTTATTTTTTCATCGGAAGGCTTTTAATAGTGCAGAAGAAATTCATCATAATTGGAAAAGCATATTAAAATTAACCTTTTTTCATTTTTTGAATTGGACAAAGAGCCCCTTGATCTTGAAATAAACGGTCATCATGAGCTGGTCGCATCCATTCTTTAAAAGGCAATAGTGAAATTCAAAAAGAAAAGATTATCTGATAATGATAAATTCAATTTAACTCCCCTAATCTAATATTATTGCATGAAATAAAAAGACCCACTAAATAAACATCATCTATGATCTTTAAAACTTTTAGAATTATATCCATATCACCTATATAAACTATTTTAAAATTTAAACATGTTAAATTTTATTTTTAAAATTAATGGTTGAAGAGATGTTTTCAAATATAAAACAAAAAAATAAGTAAACGTGACTTGAAATAAAAAATAAATTTGCAAACAATGCGTAAAGTGCAATTTTAATGCTAGCAATTATACAAGTCACAAAGTAAATTATATTTTGTATCAATATTGTTTCATAAATTATTAACAGGTATTTGTTACTTCTACATACTATTTGAGGATTATTTTTTATCACAACCAAATTCTAGAGGCTCGAGACTGTTACTTAGCCATTGACCCATAGAGCGAACAGTTTGCCTTTATAGCTCTCTCGAAACAAGATAAAAAAATTGCATATCATATCACCAACTTGGTGTAACCTTTCTAATATCGCATCAAGTATCAACTTATGTTTCTGACGCCACATGCAGCATCAGGAAAAAAAAAAGAAGTGAATGAGGTGACTTCTCCAAGTTTTGCTAAAACGGAGGATTGCATTGATAAATTTGAGTACGAAATTACAAGGGATAATTGAAATGTAAGCTGCAAGTAACAATTACATCAAAATCTAGTTGCATGAAAGTAGGGGGTCCTCAAAATACAGGATTGATTGTGGCGGTGATCTTATATTTGTTTTTCCAAATTTTGCTACTGCATCAACCACTTCATTGCCTTCTCTTACTGTATGGCTAAGTTGTTGGATGTTGAGTTCCTGGATCATTGACCTACAAGATGTTATAAGTTGTAAGTATTTTGGACTACCAACTTGAAGTATTTGGAGTAATACCTGTGAGTCAGTTTCAACAATTAGAGGACAAATGCTTTGATTAATAGCAATGGTTAGCCCGTGGTAAAGCGCCAGTAGTTCAGTTTGTAAGGCATTTGTAATTGGTATATGCAATGCAAAACCGTAAATTCATTGTCCTGTGGAGTCACGAAAAACACCCTCTGCTCCTCCATGGTGATTTGTTGGGTCGTAGGCCCCATCTATGTTGAGTTTGTAGTGTGATGGTTGTGGTTTGTGCCATGAGGTAGTTTCTCTCACAGAATTAGTTTTGATGCTAGGTATATTTATTAAGTAATTAATTTGGGTCGCAAGTGTAATAATAGTGACGGGGTCTATTAAGTGAATTTTTCTGCTGAAATGATAATCGTTACGATTTAGCCAGATTTGCCATAAGAGGATGGGCTTTAGGATAAAAGATGGTATAGAAGTCTTGGGATTTATTCGAATTTGAGTGTGAGAAGTGCATAGTTTGTGTAACCAGTGTCTAAAATTAGTTGTGGGTGTTTTTATTTGTAGGTGGTGCCACAATGTGTTAGCTGGTTTGCAATGTAAAAAGATGTGTGGTATGTCTTCCCGAATGTTATTACAATTTGGACAGTAGGGATTGTTAGTGATTTTCCTATGGAATAGTAGAGTTTTGGTAGGGAGTTTCTCATATGTTAGTAGCCATAAGAAGTATTTTATTTTTAGCAGTGTGGTTAGTTTCCAAATCCAATTATTAGGGGATTTTGTTATCCAGTGATGATCTTGGTGTAGTATATGTAGGTAGGCGGAGGAAGTCGAGAATGAACCATCACTTGTATGGTGCCAGTAGTGTGAATTGGACACTTAGTTTCAAGGTTAGAAATTTGGATTATAAGAGTTGATTGAGGTTTGACTTTTGGATAAACAACCCTGAATTGGTATTTTGATAGTTCCAATAGGCTTGTATGGTGATTTTTGTACTTAGGCGTATGTCCGAATTTGGATTTGGATGTTCCTAGGTTGATTGGCTCTATTTGGAAAAAGTTAAAAATTCGAAGGTTTGGATGGTTCATAGGTTAATTGAGAGTTGACTTTGATGTTATCGGGTTCAGATTTTTATTCTAAGAGTATCGTTTTGTCATTTGGGACTTATGTACAAAATTTGGAGTTATTCCGAGTTGGTTAGACATAGTTCGATATGAGTTTTGAAAGTTGGAAATTTGTTAGCTCTTTAAGCTTGAATTGAGGTGTGATTTGTAGTGTTGATGTTACTTTGTGTGATTTTAGACTCCAAGTAGGTTAGTGTGAAGTTTTATGAATGGTTGGTGTGTTTGGACGGGATCTCGAGGGTTTCAAGAGTGTTTCAGATGGATTTCAGATCATTTTGAGCTTGTTGAACCGTTGAATATTGCCGGTGTTTGGTGTGCTTCGCGATCGCAGAGCAGGTCTTGCGATCGCGAAGGCTAATTTTGGGGTAGTGTCTTTTTGTTCTTCGCGTTCTCGAAGGTGGAGTTGCATTCGTGATGCTTTGGTGGTCAGTGGCCTTCGCATTTGCGGTCAGGGCCTCGTATGCGCGATGAAGGAAGGAATGCTAAGGTTTGTTAGGCGTCTGGCCCTTGTGTTCACGTGAGGGTGTCGCGTTCGGGTAGGCCAGTGGTGCTTTGTGCTTCACGTTTGCGGGATTCGGTCCATATTCGCGAAGGGTTAATTTTGGTTGAGGATTTTTGTGCTTCACGAACACGAGGCAGTAGTCGTGTTCGCAAAGGGTATCATTAGCAGACTTTTAAGTTGTCTAATTTCAGGATTAGACTCATTATTTTATATCTTGAGCCCTAGACTCTGAGATGGGCAATTTATGAAGGAGATTTTCACACAAAGCAAAAGGGTAAGTGATTTTTACTTGATTTTAATATTTTATCTTGATTACCCATGGATTATTACACATAGATTATGGGGTTTTAAGGAGAAATTTAAGGATTATTGACTAAGGTTTTGTAGAGTGAAAAATGGAGATTTGAACCTCGAATCAGAGTCGGATTTGGATGAAACTTATTTAGTTAGACTGGTATTCGAATGGGTAGTTGGGATTTGTGACTTTTGTCGGGATTCAGATGAAACTTATACAGATCCATCCCCTTAGGGTCAACCTCTCATGTTTCTCTCTTGATGGTATACAATCAGATTGTGCGAAACCGACGAGTTTCTGGTTGATATAAACTCTGGGAGAACTGGTTATTAATATTTGGATCGGGTTGCATACTGCAACAGACCTCATTAGCTTATTCTTATGTAGATCGGGTTGCACGCCACAACTGACTGATATTTGGTTATTGCATTTCCTCTTTACTTGTAATTTTCTTGACTGCTTACCTGATTTACTTGAATATGTTCCTTATATGCTGGAATGTTGACTGAGTAGAACCCCTTAAAATAAAAAAATTGTGAGCACCAAGGTGGTTTTACTTGTGTTTTCTTTATTTGATCAGATATCTGTTCTATACTTGTTGGATTTATGAACGTGTACAGGTAACTGGTGAGTGTCATTTAAAATTCTTGCTTCTATTACCTCGCCGAAGATAGTTACAATACTTATTGAGTACATCGTGTCGGTTGTACTCATACTACACTTCTGCACCTTGCATGCAGATCTTGGAGCTGATGTTGCG